AGCGGGGTCACACGAGGATCCAAAAGGGATCGCCTGTTCAATGGCCCTGTGGCAGGTTTTGGGCAACGTCTCTGGCTCTCAGAGGTGGCATCCCTGCAGGTGGGGCATGCTCCTGCAACTCCCAGCGCGACGGGAGCGCGGAAGTCGGAAGGAAGGGCCCGTCAGAAACCAGCCGAGCCCGGCGAACCAAAAGCTGAGCCCAAACCGAATGCCAAGATCTATAGCCTGGCAATGGAGAAGAACGGAATCCTTTCTTGCTGATTGTTGCATGGGGAACCAAGTCGAACAGAAAGGGAAAGCCAATTGCAATTGGGCAACGCGCCGTGTCAGCACCAGACCCAAACGGAGCGAGTGACCGTCGTGGTCTTCAACGTGAGTGTTTAAGACATGGAGACTTAATCTCTGCGGCGACCAGGAGGAAAAGCTTGCGCAGCGACTCGACTTTCACACGCCCATTGGGGTTGCCAAATGTCCCCAGACCCTATTTGTTCGCCGGTGAGCTGGCTCTACAATTGGTGGTTGTGTGTCAGAAAATATGGTATCAGCACATTGTTACAATCATGACACCTCACATAAGGGATCCTGAGCCAGGAGGACCTGCATCATGGGGAGCTCGGTCAGGTGAGCTCTCCCCAATCCGAACGACCAAAAACGATCCTACCTCAAAACAAGGAAGTTGGAAGCCTGGCCCCCAATAGCGTACCGATTCGGAGCAATAACAAAAGCAGTCACCTGCCCAGATTACTAGAAATCACCAGCGGTCAATGCGACCAGCCCCAGTTCTCATGCTTCAACAGGAATTGGGGGAGCTATGCTAGGCATGCATGCCACAGACATGCGAATCTCCGATTGTATGACATCTCCTAGCCCAAGCTTTGCTTGGAGCGCGCCAAGTGCTTGGGGAAAGAAAACACGAATCCCATGTGCAGGCTTGCTTGCTTTCGCTTTTTTTCCGCTCCATCAAAACCTGGCCGGTGCCTAAAAGGAATGTCCGGCCATCCAGGCATCCCCGCGGCCGGTTCCGGGTGCTGCCGGCGAGGCGGCAGAAGTTGAAGCCGGCGAACTCCTCAAAGTAATAGCTCAAGCCACTGGGCTGCCCTATCCCCCGCTAAAAAGTGTAACTAGCAGGTTAAAATGGAAATCCCCACTAAACAGAGAAAACACTTAAAAGCTAAGGGGATGGCTGGGAACCACTGAGGCCAATGGTACCTTCTGCCGAACCTTTCTCTATAAGAGGTACTGAATTGATCGTCACCAGTTCTGGCAGGTTTGGAAGTCAAGTACTTTTGGCGCCAAGCCATCTTGGAAGCAAGATGTTCAAAAACCAACAGTCTCTGGCCAACCAAGTCGGTCCTATACTTGCTCCAAGCCCAAACACATCATGCAGGCCAACATCTGGGTGGTTGCCAACACTTGACCCTCCTACAAACGGCCGCTTACCTTTACATCCCGGTCATAACTGCCAAATCCCACGAAGCACCCGCCCCCTCCAATCGATAGCTTCTGTTGGCGCAGAGCCCCTGAATCCCAGAAGGATCGAGGTCTAAAAAGGATGCCCCTCCAAGCCCACCCAAAAAGGGGCAATAGCACCGAAGCAACCCCAAACCACCCGCAAACCAAACGAACCCGGAGCCGCGGCTGGTTGGGGTGAAGCATCTGGCCATGTATGCCTTGCCTCGCATTCCGCGCTGCTGGCAAAGCCCACGCTGCGCTGCAGCGGGCAGGCGTTCACCGGAGAGATGGCTGGGCAGGCGTTGAAGTTGCACACCCCACCTGCGCCAAAAGGCTCACCATGGGTTTATCTTGTATCAATCTGAGGGTTTTTGTATTACACCCTGCCACCCTTGGGAAATGACCCAGAATGGTTCAACATAACACGGCTTTATCCGGAAATGTGCCTAAATCAAATGGGGTCAATACCCAGTGGGTGTATTCCCAGGGTGTAATACAAAAACCCTTAGAATCAAACTGGTCTACCCGGAAGGCTTCCTTTTGCCTGCACAAGCTCTGAGACAGAAGGTCCGATATGGTCCGATCCTCGAGCGATCAATTTGAGAGGACTCATGCTCTGGCTCAGATGCCAACTGCGCCACTAAAACTTGTTAATTAAGTTAATGACCCCGTATTGACAAACCCGCGGTTGATTCATACAGGGGTACTCCATTATAATTAGAGGCAAAAGTTGCCAAGTAAGACGCGGGGAGATGCGCGACGAGAGACGCGAGTGAGAGATGTTACCAGAATTCAGAGGTGTATCAAGAGATGCGAGGAGAGACATGACGAGAGAGGTGACGCGAGACGTGACGACATACCCGACGAGAGTCATCAAGGCGAACGTGGCGGCGCGACAACTGCCTTGTGACGCGACGGGAGACGCATCGTGAGACAACGTGACGAAACACGTTGCGCTAGACGTCGAGAGAGACCTTGGCGACTATGAAGGGTACTTAGTGTCAATATATCTTCCGTCGGAAAACGGGCACCCCCCTGAACAGGGAAA